TGTGTGTGTGTGTGTGTGTGTGTGTGTGTGTGTGTGTGTGTGTGTGTGTGTGTGTGTGTATATATTATTTGTATGTGTATGTAAACATGATATGTTCTTAAGTCCATATATGTAATACAGGCTATGCAAATGTATAAATACAGGCTGCGTGGTGTATATTGGGTTTCGATCTCGATCTGCATACGTGTATCGGATCATTTGAGACGCATGCACTATATGCACGGCCATTCGCGGTGACTAAGGCACACCTAATTTCAAATAGTTGTTCCTGTCCACTATAGAGCATGAACGTTCTTCACTTTTTCTAGTATCAAAATAGCAAATACAAATACGTATGCACAGGTGTAACGGCAAAACTTCTACTTACCTTCCCTTTTTATTTCTGACGGTCGCTTCGTTGGAATTGGCCTGTCAGTGGATTGTGGTACCCGCCTGGCGACAGCTGCTGGCTGTGTCTGGGTAGTTGACGCTACACCTGCTGGAATCGAGGTTTGTGCATTCACCTTCCGACTGGGTGGAAGTGGGGGTGCCTGTTGCTTCGACCTAGAACTACTGCTACTACTACTATTACGTGGCCTGCTATTGTTAAGACTTGCAGGAGCGCTTGTAGCATTGGTTGCGGTGTTTTGCTGTTTCTTTGCGAAAGGCGGAGGTGACGCAGGTGGCGCTCGGTTCACTGGTGGAGTCTTTGGTCGGGCGGGGCTAGTTGTACTTGCTTGTGCGTTTGCTGGTTTAATACTTGCAGTAGTAGATGTACTAGTGTTGGGAATATCTGAGGGAAGCGGAGTCTTATAGCTAGCAGGCGGTGCAGGTTTATTACTACTTGTTGTACCCGCCCGTGAACTGGGAAGACCTTGCGGTACCGGAGGTTCACGCCTCGGAGGGTTTGGCGACACATCATAGCCATAGCCATTGGGTGTGGGCATTTTCAACAGGCTGTGTGGCAGTAGTCCTATTTCAAGTATCGTGTGCTACTAGCGGTATGTAGCTCTACAATCCAGCTAGAAACACCAAAATATAGAAATAACTATTTTCTCATCTCTCTATGAAGTATAACTAAATAGTAGGAAAAGTAATATCTGTCTCTCTACACCAAATCAAGAATCCGCCAAGTTTTTGACTTTTTTTTTATAAATACATATTATGAAATTAGATATTTTGCTCAACAAGGCTTTCAAGATCTAATATTTGACAAAAAGAAGAGGCGTTCACCGAAACTGAGCCAATGAAAATTGAAGCACATCCAATGGACTACGTACCGAACTATTATTACTACTCTGAAATGTGACCCACCTGTGTTTTCTAGCGAGACCCTGCGAATGGTTACATACCACAAGGTTGCGTTTATTTTAAAATGTGTTCAGAGAGTTCACCTCTACACTACAAATACACAAGCCATTGTGAGAAAGAACGGGACGATAATAGAACTTCAGGCGACAGTAGTACCAACCCTCCTAGACAGCCTCACACAACAATGGCACATATTACACGAGCAAGACCCAATGTCCTGATCACGGGAACTCCCGGTACAGGGAAGACAACCACCGCCGAGACGATGGCCAAAGATCTGAACATGACCCACCTTTGCGTAGGCGATATAATCAAGCGAGATGGCTTAGCGGGAGAGTGGGATGAACAATATCAAACAAATGTGCTAGATGAGGAAGGCGAGGATTCGGTATGCGAGTATTATACGATAGGTCTACAAATTGATCACTTAGGCTATATGAAACCTACACTGTGTGTATGCATATTTATATATGTATATG